AGGGGCGCGGGGTCCCGGGGGGTTTGGGGTGTCCCCCCAGCCTGAGCCGGCAGCTGGGCGGCGCAGACGCAATTCTCCTCGGACAGATTTTTCCCCTCGTCCCACATCTCCCCCCAGCCCCCCCAGAACGGCAGCTGCTCGGGCGGCAGATGCGCCGGCTAAATCCGCACAGCTGGTCCCTCCGCAGAGCTAACCGCCTGGAGTCCTTGGGGTGTGTGTGTGGGGGGGGGGGGAGGTGCGTCCTGGTCCTTACCCTTTCCCGCCCCTGCCCTTTAACCCTTGCTTTCTTGCAGGGGAGGGGGGTTCTCTCTTGGACGCTTTTCCAAGTTCAAATACCCTCCTGGAGGATTTCGGTGTAACTGGTGCCCAGAGAGGGTGTGGACCGTTCCAGAGACGACACGGCACCGTGGGCCTGTTGCCAGAACATGGCCCGTCTTGTGCATATATTAATCGTTAGAAGGATGAGCTGACATTTATCGAGCAGCTACTGAATGCAGCCCGGCGACTCCAGAACAAGGCTACTGTTATGATCCCATTTTTAGGCGTGGAAACTGAGGCCCAGAGAGAAAAGGCTTGGGCACTCACAGAGCCAGGAAATCAGACTGGATTTGTAAGCCCACACTTTTCATTGCCTCCATGGGCTCTGGGACCCCTAGCTGGGAAGGCTCTTCAGGAAAATGACTTGGGACCTGGGCTGAGTGAGTAGGGTCTCGGCGACCTGCTTCCTGCACCCTTTCTAAGCACATCTGAACCTGGATGGACCCTCCCTTCCTTGCTTCTTCAGCCCCATCACCAGTACCACTCTCATCTGGAAGCTCTGAGGAGCTCTAGGGGGACTGCGGGAAGGAGGAAGCATCACTCGGAAGTGTTGGAGGTACAGCTGTTAAGGGTCTGATGGTGTCTCTGAATGTGTAACTCTGTACCTGCCCCAGGGCCTTTGCACTTGCCATTCTCTCTGCCTGCAATGCTCTCCCTACAAATTTCTTTTTTTCTTTTTTTTTTAAAGGGGAGAATGATGATTTTTATTTTTATTTTTTAAAATATATGTTATTGATTTTTTATAGAGAGGAAGGGAGAGGGATAGAGAGTTAGAAACATCAATGAGAGAGAAACATTGATCAGCTGCCTCCTGCACACCCCCTACTGGGGATGTGCCCACAACCAAGGTCCATGCCCTTGACCGGAATCGAACCTGGGACCCTTGAGTCCGCAGGCTGACGCTCTATCCACTGAGCCAAACTGGTTAGGGCTCCCCACAGATTTCTCTATATGGCCCCTCTTTTCCTCTAAGTCTCAGCTCAAATGTCACTCTGCAGGGAGGCCACCCTGACCTCTGCATCTATAGCAACACCCTGTCCTCTCTTCTCATCCTGCTCTGTTTTTCTTCATTTTGTTTTCACAGCCAAGCACTGCAGATTGCCTCTCCCACAGCACCATTTGTCCCCTGCTGGGTTCCCATTGCCTAGAACAGGAGTGGGGGACGTCTGGTCCATGGGTCGCTTAAGGTCTGAGGAATCATTTGGTCTGGCCTGCCAAGGCATTAGGGGTGAGTTCATTAAATGTTTGACCAAACAGAGCAGGCTAATTTTTAAGTTGGTAATTTTGCATGGCCGTGAATGAGGTTATAAATATCCAAATGGCTCTTGGCAGAAAAAAAAGGTTCCCCACTCCTGGCCCAGAACAACCCTGGCACACAGTAGGTACTCAATAAATGTTTGTTATCCAGAAATCTCAGGGACCTGAGCGTGAATGGAGGCGGGAGGGCAGCGGTAACCAGGGGGAAGGCCATATGGGAGTTCTGTCTTGGTGCGTGTGTCTAGGAGCCTAGGCCATCGCCATGTCCTGTGCCGCCTTCATCCAGAAGCCCTCTCAGGGCCAACCCCCTCCCACTTTCCCACCCTCACTCTGCTTCAGCCACGTCGACCTGCCCCTCCTCGCCATTCCTCCAGTAAGTCAGGCACAGTCCAGCCTGAGGGCCTTCGCACGGCTGCTCCCTCTGCTTGGGAGGGTCCTTGCTGTGCTTGGCCAGTGTCACTTTCTCCAACAGGGCAGCTCTTCGTCACCCAGTATTTTTCTTCTAAGATCATCTTACTAATTCAGTCTTGAATCAGTGATGGAGTGGTGAGCTGCGCCCCCTTAGAGGCAAGCCAGCAGGCGGTGGAATAGGTGTGTCCGCTGCAGGCTGGGGTCCAAACCTCGGCTTTGCCACTTCCCAGCTGTGAGCAAGTTGTTTAATGTGAGGATGTTTCAAAAGATGCCAGGGCCTAGCACATAGTAGGTGCTCCACAAGATGGGTTTCCTTCTCACTTCCTTCGAGGTCCTAAAACTCCACATTTCCTCCTCTTAACTCTTTCCTCGGAAGTTGTGAGGAGCTTTGATGCCCTTGACGTTGTTCAGGGCATTGTCTACAGAGGGGGAAAAAAAAAGACAGAACAGACACCTGTATGTCAGGAACAGGTTTTTGCACACCTGTGTTCATACCAGCATATGTACAATGGCCAGAAGGTGGGAACAGCCCAAGTGTCACGGATGATAAACACAATGTGGTCCATCCAGACAGGGGAATATTACTCAGCCTTAAAGAGGAAGGAAGTTCTGACACCTGCTACAACATAGATGAACCTTGAGGACATGGCGCTCAGTGACATAAGCCAGACGCAGGAGGACAAATACTGTGCGATTCCACTCATAGGAGGTCCCTAGAGGAGTCAGAGCCACAGAGACAGGAAGTAGATGGTGGGAGCCAGGGGCTGAGTGTGTGTGTGGGGGTGGGGTGAGGGGTGCTGGGGAGTTAGTGTTTAATGGGGACAGAGTTCCAGTTTGGGAAAATAAGGAAGTTCTGGAGGCAGACGGTAGCGATGATTGTACAATCATGTGAATGTGTTCAATGCCACTGAGATGGACATTACAAATGGCCAAAACAATAAGTATTATTATGTATAGTTTACCATGATTTTTTTTTTTTTTAAAGAAAAGCTGGCCGAAACCGGTTTGGCTCAGTGGATAGAGCGTCGGCCTGCGGACTGAAAGGTCCCAGGTTCGATTCCGGTCAAGGGCATGTACCTGGGTTGCGGGCACATTCCCCAGTGGGAGATGTGCAGGAGGCAGCTGATCGATGTTTCTCTCTCATTGATGTTTCTAACTCTCTCCCTTCCTCTCTGTAAAAAAATCAATAAAATATATTAAAAAAAAGAAAAGCTGTTTGGAGGAAAAACCAGATGGTGACAGTGGAGGGGGGTGTGAATGACCTCAGCCAGTGGCGGTCCCATCACTGCCACCAGGGTCAGCTACTCAGGTGATGCTGACGTCAGTGGGTGGCGGGGCTCTTGGCAGGTGCTGAGCTCAGGAACTCCACACCACGCTCCTGGTACCCTCTTGCCCTTCCTGGGACCAGCTCGACTCCAGCTACCAAACCTCCAATGTCTTCAGGAAGCAGAACCGAGCCCGTGGGCCTTGACCCTCTTCGGCCTATTTATTCAGCTAACTTTATTGAGCACCTATTGTGTACAGGCTCTAGGCCCTGCCGGGAACACAGCAGTGATGGAGATTGAGCTGGTTATGGGAGAGTTTATGCTGAGCCAGTGGGACTGTCTGATTGAACTTTTAAAAAGATCCCTCTGGCCCTAACCTGTTTGGCTCAGTGGATAGAGCGTCGGCCTGCAGACTGAAGGGTCCCAGGTTCGATTCTGGTCAAGGGCATGGACCTTGGTTGTGGGCACATCCCCAGTAGGGGGTGTGCAGGAGGCAGCTGATCGATGTTTCTAGCTCTCTATTCCTCTCCCTTCCTCTCTATAAAAAATCAATAAAATATATTTTTAAAAAAATATCCCTCTGGCTGTCTTGTGGAGAAGGATGCACCCTGGACAGCAGTGGCTCAGGGGGACCAGGAGAAGATGACTGCCTTAGACTCGGGGAGCGGCAGGGGACCCCGGAGCAGGGAAGGGCTGTGGAGGTGGAAAGTGATAGAGAGGCATTTTGGAGGCACAGGACTTGGGGAGTGAGGAAGAGGGAAGAACCCAGAAGGACTGGAACTTCTTCCCCTCAGCCTCCGCCCCAGCCTGGCTCTTTGCTTCTATCTTCCCCATCCTCCCTGGTCTCAGCACATATCACCTCCTCCAGGAAGCCTTCCTGACTACCCTGACTCAGTCTGAACTGTCTGCCTTGGTCCTCCCAGCTTCCCAGCTCCCAACACAATGTCGAAGTCCTATGTCTTCCCTGAGAGAAAGAAGGGAGATTCCAGAGTTTGGGGATCAAACCAGTAAGCTTCACCCCTGGCCTTAAAATCTCATCTGCATCTCCCAGGGACAGTCCCGGCGATGCCCCTCTTTCCTTACACATCTGGCAGGAGGAGACAAGGGCAGAAGTTGAGCTCCTTGGGGGAAACTGAGGCTCTGTCAGTTGCTTCCCTCCACCGTTTTCCCGTAGGGGGTCCTGGGGCTGGGGGCTCTGACCCAGCAACAACCGGGGTGGGCACCTCGCCAGGAAAGATTCGGAGTGGGAGAGAGGCAAGGCTGAGAAGAGCTAGCAAAGTGTCTATTTTTCCTCCTGCGGCTGTATTTATAGATTCCCTTTGATGTCCCAGCGGTTGGCTGACCTGGTTCTCTGCCATCATGGGAGGAAGACAGGTTCTCGGAGCTGCTCCTTGGAGCTGGGCGGGAGGTGCCTGGGTGTGCAGAGCCTGGTGCTGGGTGACTAGGTTCCTGGGCTGGGGGGGCAGGGAGGGAGCTGGCCTCGGTTGACATTCCCACGTCTTAGGTAAGTTTTCTTAGCAGGTAGAAAAATAGTAACGTAACAGCAGCCGTCATAAAGTGGTCCTATTCACGGAGTGCTCTCAGTGGGTCTCTCTTGTACAGCGTTGTGACTTGGGGCCGATTGCTTAGCCTCTCTGGGCCTCAGGCTTCATGTCTATAACAAGAGACCTCTATTAGCGGACCCCACAACCTCATTTGGTTTTGGGGAGAATTTAATGAGCTGATCCATATAAAGAAGGCACACAATAGGTTATTTCTGTTAATATTGATGGGATTATTCACCCTGTGAGTCATAGAGCCTCGCTCTGTGCCTCAGTTTCCACTTCTTGTGAAACTCAGAATCCTGCTCTAAGACAGAGTTTACTGATAGAAAGACTCTAAACATGGCCCTGGGCACATGCACGCACTGAGGCTGTGTTGGCTCTCATCGTTATTGGCTGTGAGGGTGACTAGAGAGGTTGACGGGCTTTCCCCAGGCCACACATCGAGGCGAGGCCAGCGCTGGGAGTCGAAGTGGGGTCTTTCCAGCAAAGGTTGGGAGCAGTGCCAGGTTCTCTGTGGGGTCAAGAGGGCCGGCAGTGGGCCTCTGAGGACCCGGCGCCCAGGCTCCAGGGTTAAGCCCGTGCGGCAGCTGAACTTCCGCGCATCTACTCCTCTGAAATCCCTGGGAAGCAGGGCATCAGGTGTTCCGGAACAGGCGCCTGCTCTTGACAGACCGGCGCACACATGGCAGGACAGCTGGTGGAGGGCTGGTGGGCCGAGGGGAGAGGGGCCCGGGGAAGGGGCACCTTGGCCAGGAAAAGGTCACGAGCTGCCCCAACCTGCGCACCCCAGACAGGGACCAGGAGCCTTCTGTTTCATGACAGTCGTCTAGAACCTCAAGTTTTCACCCACATCTGGCAGACACCGACGGAGTGCCTGCTGTGTTTCAGGTGCCCCGTTGGGCCTTTCACTTGAGTGTGAAACTGGGGCTCAGAAAGAGGCGATCACTTGTCCAGATGGCACAGCAAAGGAATGGCCAAGCTGGAGCCAAAGGCAGGACTCCTGCCTCAGGGCCTTTGCACTTGCTGTTCTCTCTGCCAGGAGCACCCTGCTTAACCCCTAATGCCTTTAGCCCTCAGTTTAGATGACACCTTCTGCAGGAAGTCTTACTGGACCCACCAGCTCCCGGACCCTCACAGCTGCCTGTGTGCCCCCATCACATTCCTCTGACCCCCATCACCCACTGGACCGTGAGCCCCCTACTGGGGACTGTACCCTGGGCCCCCAGCACAGGCTTGCAGACAGCAGGTGCTCCATGAAATGTTTGTTGAATAATGTGAATGAATGAATGAATGAATGGTTGAATGAGTGATGTCCACATTCCTGCCCACCCCCATTTCTAGATGGGCTTCTAGCTGGGAAGTGAGGTGGAGAGGTCTGTGCAGGGATGTGAAGTGGGGAGGGTGTGTGGACAGGGGGTTTTGGACGAGGAGCCTCGCCCAGGACCTGGAGTCCCAGGTCAGTGGTGTTTGCAGATATTTGCTGGGTAATTAGCTGCAGGGGACCCTCAAAATTCAGGCCGTTCTTCATATCACAAAATATGAGGGTGCTGCCACAGCTAAGGAGGTGCAGGGAGGTCCCCACCAGCCACAGGGCCGCGTTTGTATCTGGACTCTCTGGGAAGGGGTGTCCAGGCCACCCCCTCTGAAGGGACTGAAAGATGGGAGGGGTGTGCAGGAAAAGGGGGAGAGAGAAGGGGATTCAGGAGAGGAAGGGGCTCAGGAAGGGGTGGGGCTCAGAAAAGGAGGGGCTGAGAGAGGGGAGGGGCTGAGAGAGGGGAGGGGGCTCCATGAGACTTGTGGGGGGGGGGCGGGCACCAGCAGGCCCGCCAGCCTTCTGCCCTCCCCTGGGGCCCCAGGACACCAGGTCCCGAGTGTATCTTGTCTCCGGGTTTCGTGTCCATCCAGAAACCTGACCGTGTCCCCAGGTCTCAGCGTAGCCCCCCCATCTCTTCCCCTCCCCCCTTCTAGGGTCCTCCAGGTTCTCTAAGATCTCCCCTCCACCCCTAGTCAGCTGTGAAAATATTTATAGCGGTGCGACCAATGTCACTTCACTTCCGAAATGGATTGTGCCCCTTATCCTGCCTTCAGAACCCCTCACACCTGTCCCTGGGGCGAGCCTGGGGCCCGCGGGTAGGCGCGTCTTCCTGGAGCCGCAGGGGGAGAGCTAAGGTGCCGCCCGCATCAGGCGCCGCCCTCTTTTTTTTGGGCTGGGCCGGCGGGGTCTGCGTGCGGGAGCCGTCGCCCGCCTGCTGCCCACCCGTCTCTGGGCAACGCTGGCAAACCTCGACCCGGGACACAGAGGCAGCGCTGTTTCCTGGGAGGTTCCAGGGGCATTAGGTGACCCCCCCTACCCCCCCATCCCCCAGGAAGGGGGACTGGGCAGGGGGCAGATCTAACTGCCCAGGTTGGAGAGGGGCGGTGAGCGGTGGCCACGGGCCAGACTTGGAGTCCCAGATTGCGGCAGCTGTATCTGGGACTGTCCCCCTTGCCTACTGAGTGACCGCTTCCCTGGCCCCAGTTCCCTCCATCTCCCTGCGGGGGCTGTGTAGGCCACCCCGAGCCCCTGAAGTGGGGAGACCCACCCAATTCTGACCCTGTCTGGATAGTCTCTAGGGAGTGGAAGCAAAGCCCCCCATCCCCCCATTGTGGCTCCCCTGATGCAGGGGCTGCAGGCAGGATCCCAGCTCTCCCCCTCCCAGCAGAGCTGGCGGCAGCTCTCCCCTGTGCAGAGAAGGGGCCCAGCCCCCCCTCCATCTGCCCCATGGTCACCAAGGTGGGTGCTCCTGCCACTGGCACCCTTCCCAGTGCACAGTGTCCTGGTGTGAGTGTGAGGGGGGTGGGGGGGTGCAAGAGAGAGTCATTGGAGCAGATTCGAGGGAACATGAGAAGGGGAAGTGGGGACAGTGAGTGTGGACAGAGGACTCTCGGGAAAGCCGGGTGGTCACTGGATAGGCATGTGGATCAACAAAGGAGTTTTAAAAAGTGCTCTGAACAGTGCAAACGCTCACCACATGGATGCTGCTAAATATACTTTTATTAAATAATAATTAAAATCATTATCCTAATGACAGTTATTACCAGTTCCCGATGCTTCGGGCAAATCCCAAACCGCTCCCAAGTCTGCCATCGCTTCAACTCACAAAGGAAGGGCTTCAAGTGACAGCAGGTGGCCAGGGGCTCCCAGCCCCGGGGCTGAGCCCAAGGTGTCCGCGTGGGGGAGGGCTGGTTCTGATTTAATGTGTGGCTTCAAGGCCCAGGAGGCTGCAGCGTTCTGCCTCTCGGGCTGTCAGGGAGCAGTAATGAGGCCTCCCCAGGGAGGAGGAGAAGCTGGAAACAGCTTCTAGAAGCATGGCGGCCAAGCGGGAGAGCCCGAATCCAGGCGGGAGGTGGGAAGACCCCGGCCTGGCCTTCCCCAGCTGCCAGTTGGTGGGTTGTCTGGGAAGGGCTGCACCCCAGAGCTGGGCCTGAAGACTGGTGCTATCCGTGAATGCGCATTTATTGAGCACCCACTGTGTTCTAGGCTCTGGGAACACAGTGGCATCTGTAACATGTTAATGAAAGAAGCTTCATCAGCGACTCCATGTGAGAGAGGAACTGAAGGAATGTCCGGAGGAAGTGATGCTTTTTTTTTACAGAGAGGAAGGGAGAGAAATAGAGAGTTAGAAACATCGATGAGAGATAAACATCGATCAGCTGCCTCCTGCACACCTCCCACTGGGGATGTGCCCGCAACCAAGGTACATGCCCTTGACCGGAATCGAACCGGGGCCCCTTCAGTCCGCAGGCCGACGCTCTATCCACTGAGCCAAACCTGTTAGGGCGGAAGTGATGCTTGATCTGAGAACAGAAGGAAG